ATGGGAGAAGAACAAAGATCTTGCTTAGCTTGTCCCAAAAGTAGAACATATTTTAAAGTAAGTATTACACCAGGGTAAACTTTTATAGTAACAGCAGGCAGGCCTCAAAAATCAAGCTTACAAATATAGTGCAACTGCACTGAAAAAAGATCTATCATAACAGGACAGTACACCTAATTCCTGATAATTTATTTCTGATATTAAGAATACCTTACCTACAATGAGGGCACTGAGCTCTTTGTTCAGTCAGCCAACGCTATGAAGGAAAAAGGAAAAACATTTTTAAAGAGACTGTGAGAACTGCAAGCAAGTACATTCTATCGTTAATTAGGAGTTACTTCTTTTTATTACCATCTTTCTATACTTTTTCCTTTTTTTTTTTTTACAGATTTGTAATTTAACTGTTCAACCACTTAGTCACAGCAGAAGCTGCTATTTGTATCTTAGTAACAAAGCAACGACTTTTCTTTAGATGTCAAAGACACTTCAGTTATAATTATACAATGAATTTTAAGGAACCAAATATTCCATTAAAAACCACACACCCGGTGCTGACTCCCATAGTCATAGACTAAAGGGCATGTTTCAACAAAAGAAAGCAAAAGATAAAGTATCTTTTTTGGAGCCTGTTATTAGTCTTCAAGGTAACTTACTTCTTCCTCTCAAGCTATTTATATGCAAGTTAGATACCCGCAGTTCGATGATCAAATCCACAAGGACCCTCTGAAAGTTTTTTTTCCAGAAAGCTCCCAAGACAAGTAGCTGAGGAAAGAACTTCACCTGCCCACTACACCTCACAAGTGTAAAAGCTCAGCAGTTGAAGGGCTTGTATTTGTCAGCTCACTACTACATTTAAAGCTTCTCATGAATAATCTCTCACCACCCAGCAATGGTATGTCATCCAACATTCTTAATAGGTAGCATGAATCCTTCACATATAGATCTTGCCAGAGCTTTCAAAGCAAATGATGATTGTTCCAGCTTCTGGAAATACTACCCGAGGTCTGAAAACCTTGGCTGAACCCTCCCCACTACGCTAACACGTAACAGCGCCTGGAGTTGGAACTGAAGTGTTATGCATTGGTAACCATGACCTTAATAAATGAACTGAGGTATTTCAGATGCTGCTTCAGCCTGCTATACCAGACTCCCTTGAGGAAGATGTAGCCCATATCTGATCATATCATACTGGCTTGGTAAGCATTTTAAAACATCTCAAATATGACAAGAGGTGATGTTATGACCTTCCAGTGCTCCATACTGACAGATGCAAAGTCAGCATTTGATTCCTGTCCCAGCTTTTGTCTTCCATACAGGCATCACTGACTCTCAAAAGATGCTAAAGAAGGGATCGTTATATGTCTGTTTCTTAAAAGCAATTATTCCAGATAGTCCCTATAATTAGCACTACTGAATGCAATGCACAGACTGCCTGTTTTTTTCCTCAGGTTGTCATAAAAGATTTTGAAAGGGAAACTAAAGAGCACAGAGCAGGAAAAAGGAATCCTTGGAACTCCAGGAAAAGGGGCAAGAAAGAAGCAAGAGCATGTTCACAAGATCAGTAGGTTTTAAGTTCATATATTTGCAAGAATAAACTATAATAAGCAAACTCACCCGAATACAACTGAAACAGCACAGCTTGGAGCAATGAGGACACAGACGTGCATCACGCAATTTCTCCATACAAATAAAACATCGGAATACTTCAGCAATGCTCTGCAAAGGGTAGATTATCGCTATTGTTAAGCCACACACTTGAAACATATCAGAGTTGCATTTATTTTCCAGGCAGAGTGCCAGGTTTCATAAATGCAGTCCCATTCGAAACAGCTACGGAGAGCGCACCTCAGAGCCAGATGCTAAGTCAAACACCATGGCTCCCCTCCCCACTTTCTCCTACGCTACACCAGCTCTTAGCACCCATTTTATAACACTGTTCTTCTTCTTCAAGGAATAGTTTGTCCGGTGTATCTTTTTCCAAGAGGGCCTTTCTGCAGCCAAGATATTATTCCTGCTTGTGATCACATGGGATTGAACAGTTGCCAAAAGAAACTGTGATGCACCTGCAGATTCTGAACCCACGAGTTTCAATGTACTGGCACTAATTAATTCAAAAGCATGGTAAGTGCACATATGTGTTATACAGAATGCTAACGAGAGGGGTTGAATTGGATGGGGTGGATTTTTTAATTTTATAAGACCTGCATTCTTTTAAGGTCTACCATTAGCACTAGCACCACAGTTTCTACACCCCCTCACGCCCCACCTTATTAATCGTGGGCAACAAAAATACATTTTAACATATGTTTTTACTATATCCATTTGAAGAGAGAAGCATTTTGTTCTAGAATACAACCACCTCATCCCTCTCCATTCTCAAAATGAGAAAGGTATTTTCAAATGCCAAGCTACGTTTGCTTTCTGTATCAACAGATTTTTCACTGATAAAAGAGTTTTACATTCTGTATTGTACAAGAGTTAGATCCCTTCTGGCTTTAACTACGGAACTTTGAAAGATTCTTCAGATGGGCTATTTTTTCCCCTGCACAGTTGAAATTATAAATCAGCACAAAAGGGAGGCATTCTCTTCAACTTACACCACAATATCTCCCATACATTAGCACCTTCTTTAATGGTTGCAAACCATTAAAAGGCAATACACGGGTTTATGGGAAGTTATCACACAAGGTCTTTTAAATTCTTCTCCTATTCGGCTGCCATTAATACGGACCACAGCAATGCGTGCAAGCTGCCCAGGTTACAGACAGACACCACTGAGTATTGCGCCTTCACGCACGCCAAGACGGGTTCCGTCAGCGCCAGGTCTCCATCCCCCTCCGACGCTCCTCCAGTTTATTTTTCTAACCCTGACTACGTAAAATAACTGCGTGTCACCTAGAAATACCACCTCTTTACATCCTGCTTCCTTTCTACCCAGCTCCTCAGTGCACAGACGAGCCAAGCTCCCTCCCATGCGCATCCCTGCCCACCGCAGAGCTGCCATCTGTTTTCCGCCTCTCGGGCCGCCCGTAGCTCGGTACCGCTTGGCCTCTCTCCCCTCACACAAGGGAGGGGGGAACCTGTCGAGGGCTCCGCGGCCCCGCCGCCACCCGCCCAGACCCGTAAACAGGTCAGGCCGCCCTGCCCCACCACTCCCGCCGGAGAGGCCCGGCCCCACCGCTCTCCATCCCCCGCCGAGGAGAAGAGGTGCGGCCGCCGCGCCTGCTCCCCCTCACGGCCTGAGGGACGGGGCCCCCCCGGGGGAGGCAGCGCTCCCCCCCCACACACAGCCCTTCCCGCCTCCCTGAGGGAGCGCGAGCGCAGCCGCCCCAACCGCCGCCCAAGCCGCTCACCTCCACGCTCTGCTCGTCCATGGCCGCGGCTCCACCGCCGGCGGGGAAGGGAAGGCTCTCCCCGGCCCCTCTTCCCTACCGCACAAGCCCCGGGGAGGGGGTGAAGAGCGTTAAGGCGCGGGGTGGAGAAAAGGCTTAAGAGCCGCCGGGCAGAGGCTGCGCCCGACCCCGGCCATGTTCGCGGGGAGCGGGGCAGCTCCTCCCTCCGCCAACCCGCCCTGCGGCCGCTGAGGGGAGGCGGCGCTTAACCGCCGCACCCGTACTGCGCAGGCGCGATGCCCGCCCGCCGTCACGGGGCGTGGTGGCAGCTCCCTGTCAGCGGCGGCCGGAGCGGAGCCCGTGAGGCGGGCGGGAGGTTCCCGCCGCGGACCCGGTCACTGCTCGGGGGATCCGCCGTCCCTCAGTCCGCGGCTCTGAAGGAGGGTTGGGGGGAGCTGGAAGGGTCCCGGCGGGCAGCGGCGCTCCCGGCTGGGAAAGCGGGAGAGGGGTGGTGGTTGAGGAGCCGCCGGCCGCGGGCAGGTGCGGGCAGCAGCACCGCAGGGCTCGAACGGAGATGTAGGGCGAGGGGACGGCGTTGCTTTCTCTGAGGAATTTGCAGGCAAAAAAAGCTTTGCCCTCAGTGAGTCGGTGCTGGCGACGGTATTTCAGGAGTAGGCAGCGCTAAACAAAATCTAGCTGCAGGGATCGATTTTCCACGCCTGGCACGGCTTCAGAAACAAAGGTAACGCTCCTCAGGGCTGCGGCCGCAGTTAAATTACGCGCAGCACAGTCGTTTACCCGCTAACAGGTATCTTTAATTGTTTTAGCCAGATTTCACTAATAAATTAAATATTTAACGCTGTTGAAAGGAGCAAGGGTAAGGATCGAGTCCTGCGCTGAAAATGGATCAATACGATTAAGTCTAAATGCTTCAATATTAAATCAGTGTGTGAAGCGATAGCAGCCTTGTAGGTAAAAGGGCACACTCAGCAGCAGACATCATAAAATCAAGTTATCCCTGTCGTTTCCTCCCCTTTCTTTTTCGATACACAACCTGTTCCCCTGCCCAACAAACTCTAAATAGACCAACCAGTTCATTGATGAGTTCAGAAATCAGCCTTCCCTTCTGAACGGCACTAATCTAAATTTCTCTCCTTTTGACAGCCATCATTTTTCACAAAAACTATAGGAACCTAGTAAACTTCAGGTATCTTACTCTCTCAAATTAGGCTGAAGTAAACCTAAAAACATTAAACATAAGAAAAAAAATCCCTTTTTTACAGTGAGGGTGGTCAAAGGCTGCAACAGAGGTCATAAACTCTCTGTCCTTGGAGTTGTTTGAGGACACTGCCCTCTGCAACCTGCTGTAGTTGGCCCTGCTCTGAGCAGGGGGTTAGACTGGACAATCTCCTGAGGTCCCTTCCAACCTCAGCTATTCTGCGAGTCTGCAGTTTTGCTGTACTATAAAAACAAGACAGTTCACATCAAAGGAAAATTAAAAAGGTCAGGGACCAGGTTCAGGGGTTAGGGCAGGGCTCAGGGTCAGGAGTCACGTAAACAAAAGCGTAATAAATCTATGGCCTCATCTCCTTAGCTTTCATCATTTATTCAGGAATGTAAGTACAATTAAGTGGCTTGGGTTATTTGTCTTAAAAACCCAGTCAGGAATGTAACCAAGAACATGGAGGTGTCACGTGGCTAACAATACTCTTTAAAAAAATCATTGAATCTAGCCCCATAAATATCCAAGATAAAATATCAACCTCAATGTTTTTTAACTCTCCAATTTTAAGTACTGTAAATGGAATTCGTATACAGAAACATTAACAGCTTTCCAACAGTGGACTTACAACTCCTAGACACCAGAGAAATACTTGCTTGTTAATAATCCAGGAGCTATGACCAAGATGTTTGTGTGCCAAATGTGAATGGCCTGAGCTTACATTTACACAACTAATTTAACATTTCCTTGTTTGTCAAGTTCCACAATAGCAAGTTCTTTCAAGATTCGTATTCTTGAGTCAGTGGCTTTCATATTCATCTTGTTCATCTGCGAAACACTCAATGCTGCTCTGTAAGACAAAAGCACACTAGTTAGCAAAACAGAGTATCAAACACTGGGTCTGGCAGAAAAAGGCTAAAAAGCACGTACTGTTTAATGAATGATTTTTGCAAGTGCTCTGCAATTCTCATTCAGATATTGTCATCAACTTTTCTGCGCTACTTCAAATTGAGAACAGTCATTTGCTAATCCAACCTTAGGGTTAAAGAGACAGAATTCCTGAGTTAAAAACTTCCTCATTTTTAACATCAGCCTGCAAGAAATCCGCAGCACAGCCCAGACAGGGCTCAGGGCTCAGGGAGGCAGGAGGAGCTGGTGTGGGGAGGGCAGGGTTCAGGAGTCATGGTTCAGCATTAGGGCTTTGCTTTTCCAGTCTGGATGCAGATTCCAAAAGCTAAAAGGGCTTGGCGGTCTGACTGTGTCAGCAAAACTTCCCTGAATAGACCCAGTTTTGGACATCTGTACAGTGAAACCAAAGTGGAAAAAGAACCTGATGTACAGTTTTGAAAACGATCAAATCATACAAGCCATTTTTACACAAATTAATTTAGGGGGTTTTGTGTGATGGCCTAACACTTTGGGGTGTGTACCTAACCAAGAAGAGTGTAGGGGAGTAAAATCAAATTATGAAGTTGTAACATAGCAGCAAATGGTTAACTAGCTGTTTTTGTTTTCTTTGAAAAGGCTGAATTTCTTTACAGCTTACAAAATCCTTACTAATGAATGGCTTTAAGTCTTACCTGTTCTTATTTACAATGAAGTGGTTAAATAACTCCTTGTACAAATTGTTCAGGTCTGCTAGTTTAACAGTACTTCTGATAGTCCTTGGTACAGTCATAAGTGTTTCCTCAGTCAATGGTTTGAATTGCAATTCTAAAAAATTGGAAATAGAAGATACTTGTTTCTTCAGAAATTAGGCCAAAGCTAGGAATTACTTTCACTACTTTTTAAGAAACCCCCTAAATGGGTCTAAAGAAAAGATTTTCTAGCAGGAGGAAGGAGAGACGGAAAATAGTCCCTCCAAACTATCATCATATCTACAGACCCAGTGAAAAATCATTTAATTTGAGATCTGATGGGGATTAATAAATTTGGTTTGTCAGTGACTAGTTTTTTTCTTTTTTTTTTAAAGAACTAGGAAAATTCCTTTCTATAAGTAGGGATAAATGGATTAAACAAGAGCTATTTCTATGGTAAGACTAGTACCTCATTTCTTCCAGACCATAAACACAACACTACCCACTTCAATACCATCAAAAGCAAGAAAAACTCCCAGAGACATGGGAACTATATGTGGAATATAACTAAGGGCTCACTTGCTTTTATTAAAGTCTAAATTCTTCACTTCACATAAAAGCAGTAGTTCCTAATGCTTGAGAGTGAAAACAGTGAATTTGCTGTGCATCATAGGCTCTATGTTCTTTAAATAAAAGAGCTCAGAAACCATACCTAGGTCTCAGCCTATTCCTACTACTGTGAGATTTGGCCCTATTGCACTAGGGGTAAAACAGGCCTTATTTGTCAGCTGAAGTTATTTACAGTATCTGCCTTTTTCAGAAAGTAAGACAGTTTAATTCATTACTCCCTGAATTCTAGATGGTAACTTGATATGTTTAAATAGCACAGGCCTATTAGAGTTCAATATTAGAGATGGAAGACTTGAGAGATTGATACTATTCACAAAGCTTACTTACTGGGGCTGAGTGGGAGGGGGAGAAGATCAGTCAAGGGAAAAAAAGAAAACATCAGGAAAATTTTTCTTTCAGTACTTACCTTCAGATGAGCCAGAGGCTGCAGATCCTGAATGGCTAGATGGCTAAAAATAAACGAGAGATAATGTCAGGATTTGTTGGAATTTTATTTAGAAATTTTTTTTACAATTTCATTTCTGCATTAGTAATTACATTTTACTGTTGGATAACCAAGGATCTTGCAGCCACTGAAGTCAACAGCAAAATCTTAGGCATTAAACGAATCCTGGTTTCAAATAAAAAATAAGTTTAAAATGGATACAGAAAGATTTCTATGCAAGTCAGATAAGCCTTTTCAGCTTTCTCCTTTTCATTCCCATCTGGTTGTAGCTGAAAGCACTGTACATGCAGCAAAGGAAAAAGATGGCTTTCCTATTTTCAGGCAACCTTCAGAGGCTGACAGTTCTGACAAGCTGAAGGTAGCTATATCTGACTCCCCTCAGCCAGAAATACAGCACTGACAAAAAAATCCCAGGGCCTTTATGACATCTTTCCATTCTTTCTGCCTTTCAGAGAACATCTTCGAAACACGCTCAATGACAACATAGGGACTGATACCAATTAAACTGGCCTCAGTAGCTGTAGGATATAGCTACATTTTGCATTGGGCCTGGATTATGCCAGCTGTATGTGAAGTGCTTTAGAATTAAATAATGGGAAGACAGAAACTGACAGCATTTATCAAGGTAGGAGAAGATATTTGCAAACGAAGAGAGAATGAAGCTGCAAGATACTGGATGGCTTTCATGCAAACCAACCGTGGCAGTAAAGGGACAGAAAGCGAGGCATCCTTTGACAGCAGAGTAGTGGGCAGTGAGAAGACATGTAGAAGAAGATAAGGTCAATAAGATAATTACACTCTATTAACCTTCTTTAATATTTTGCTTTTAATATGCAGCCCAGACCAATTTAGCTATGGGAGAATATCTGACTTTTTAACAAGTATTAGTTTAGATCTATGTTACTCATATTCCAAAATTCATTTAATATTTTACAGGAAATTAAATTTCTCCCCATTTTGATATGCATTCGTTTGGATCAATTACATTCTTCACTCCCACCCAAAGGCTTCTTATATAACACATTAAGAGAACAATAGGATTGACAAGAGCAACCAACTGCATCTCTGAAAAGAAACAGAAACTTATCCCAATTAAAAAATAAGGGGAACAAAGTCTTCCATCAAAGCAAATTTTTCCTTCGTGTTCAATTTAATTGGAACAAATCATATACTTAATCAGAATGCAATAAAAATTAAAAGGTTTGTTAGAGACTTTAGTCCCATTTCTGAAAAATTCCATTCATTTGAGAGGTATTAAGTCACAAAAACAGCCCTTCTGACTTCAGCTGAGCTTTACTGAGGACTAATGGCTTTTGGAATACTGACACTCTGTGGCCTAATTACCTCTTCCACGAGCGATTCCATTTCTTTAACAGTTTGGCAGGTTAACTGCTGTGCTGCAGTCTGTTCTTCTCCTGACAGAGGTAAGCGCTAGGAAAAAAAACAAACACATAGAACTCTGATACTTTCAGTTCCTAGGGTGATGATATTTACAGAAGAACTCAGTGTTTGTGTAGCCCTTTTCTCATGGAAACTAATAGTAGGCTCCTACTTTCCTTCAAATGAAAGCAAATTTACAAGCAAAGTATTTCTGAAAAATCCAACCACAATATTCCTTTAGCATCAATACTATAAATGTTTGAACAGAAAGAAGATAAATTATTCGACAGAAGAAGTATTTCACTTAAAGACTTACATTTCTCCATAACAGTTTAATCCATCTTTGGTTTAGGAAATATACAAAGTACAAGAAAATCTTTATCTAAAAAGTCTAAATATAACTCAAGAGACAAGAGTCTTCCACTTTAACAAAATCCAAATATGAAATTATTCTTGGCGGCATATCCTTGGAACACAGGGAAAGAAAATATTTTTTCCTTTCTGTGACGTATAACCACTGTCTTTTAAATCATTATACAGTATATTTTATCCATAAAGAAAGACTTACCAGTAACTTGTCTAGAGCTGTTGACAGATTAAACACAATCTTGGGGCACTGTCATTAGAACATTAAAGTGAGAGCTGAGATCTGGGAATATGTTTTAGTCACACCAGTTCTGTCTTTGCCACTAGACTATCAATTAGCTTTTTTCATCTAAATCATCTGATTTGTAAAGGGACAAAATTAATGCTTTCACAACCTCTTCAAAACTGTAATGAAGCAGTGTCTGAAGACCACTTAGGAAAATGTGTTGTTTGTTGTAGGGTTTTTTTTTTAATAGATAGATAGGCATTATCATACTGAGAAAAACTTAACAACTTTGCACTAATAACAATTCCACCGCATATATTACAATGCATTGGTTTTAACTGACTCACTTCAGACAGTGAAAATACATTTGCCGTTTAAAAGATTTTTTGCCTTTTAATATTGGTTTCGCTTTCTAATTTCTTTAAAGTGGCTACTTTTAAAAAAAGTCAGTATAGAAGTGGGACACAGCTGTGCAGAGAGGCATCAATTTCTATGAAACTATTCAAACATGTGTCACACTATTGACGCTATTATGGCATTACTTCCAACTCCAAAACTGAATACCACTAGCTTAACTGTTGAGTAATGAATCAGGCTTGTGATTTACAAAAAGAGCTCCAATCTTGCAAACATTTCTTCCGGTAAATGGTCTTCTTATCTTCTAAGAGTCCTCTAAGAGTCTGCACATATAACAGTTTCCAATAGAACTACTCACATCTACGTAAAGGTTACACAAATACGTGTTAATTTACAGGAGTGAGACTCGAGTAATTAAAATGAAAATACTACCTCAAGATCAGTATGTTGCTGTACTGCCTGAATCATCTTCATTGTGTTCTCTAGAGCAGCACGGATGCCCTTCATGGATTCTCTCTGCTCTATAGAAACTTTTTCCAGCTGCATACATAACGTTTTATACCGAGATTTCACCACTGAGAGTTCTTCCAAGACAGCGACTGGATTTTCCTATGTAGAAATGAAAAGTACATTTAAACTATTTAAGAAGAGAAAATTAATGTGGCCATATACCAATTAAAAGTGTAGGCATTAGAGACACTAAAATATACCATGAAATGACCCTTTACAATGAAAAGTGTAGCAGTGAGCATCTGTTTCATCTATACATTTATTTTTTCATAAGCAAAAATGATAGGTAGTGTTAATAAAACAGCATAAATCTGTGGTTCCACAACAAATACAGGAGGATGAATTTACTGTGCTGGTGGATGTTAACGGCTTTTCTGAGTTGGAATAACTTAGGGACTTCTAACTAAAAAGATTATTTTTCCACTATATGTTACAATATACATGGAGACAAGGACTTATTTATAAAATCCTTTACATGCTGCCATTTATTGTTTTCCTCTTCCTCTCATCTGTCCCCCAAATCTGAATTTAGACATTGCTTATTAGCAAGTTTATCTTTTGATCTCAGAGCAAGGGTGTGCTTTAGCTCAGATTGGAATCTGTCTCTTAAATTTAGGTATAACACTACTACTAATTTCTCAAAGCAGAACATGGGCGAATTTCACTATACCAAGAAATCAAGGGGGTTTTGTTGGTTTCTGCACTGAATTCATATTAGGCCAGTTATCTTGATATACGATGCAAGAAATACTTTATAATAACGATAAAAACCTAACAACTAGATAAAAGAACAGCCACCTATATTTTAGGATTAAAGAAAATTACCCATTTATTACCAACTTCATGCAAAATGCAATAAAATCTATTAATTTAATCTAAAAATACTACCTCTGCTGCTGGATTATCAGGAAGACTTTTCATTATTTCAAACTCCAGTCTGTGTTGAATATAATCCAGATCAGATTCTGCCTTCTGGAACTAAAATATTTAAGGTCAGCCACAGTATATTAAAAAACAAAAATTGCAGACAAAACCCAACCGTTTGCGTTTCCTGTATTTCAGGAAAGCAGAAGCCAGATGCCTCTGATTTAAAAGAGGCATGTACTATAAAAGTACATTTCTATTCCTCCAATCTATTCCATTAGCTAATGTTTGCCAATTACACTGACACACTTCTAGCCTGAAAAATATAAAGCAATAAACTTTCAGACTTAACATAACCATTTTCCTCTCACATGTAAGAATTATATGGGTGTACGCACACAAACTTCTATTAATTTTACCCTCTTTCCATTTGTCTAACCCAAATTACCCAGTTGTTCTCTTTGTATCTTGCCACTAGTACCTTTTTCATGCAGGTCCCCAAAATGCATGAAAACACTTCTATCTCTTCTTATGTTACATGCCCTTGCAATGCCAAACCTCTCAAGATGAAGTTTTTAAGTAGTAGACCAAAGAGGTAAGTTCTATCAATAGAAAAGAACACACATCTTTTAAAAAGTGATCTTCACTCAGTGCAGGAGGTGTTTGATTTTTTTCTCCTGAGATATTAACATATTTTCCATCAATTTTTAGAGCTTCTTGGCTAACTGCTTCTCTTTTCAAACATTAAAAGTTCTGTTAGCAAAACTGCAATACTCCGTTATTTACACAGCAGAGATTATGAATAAGTGTTCAGGATCCAAGCATATCAACAGAGATTTTATTATGAATTATATTAGGAATGCATTCTCTCAGATGGTTCTAATACCCATAATACATTTTATTATTCCCCAATAAACCAGACTGATAAATAGATAATAAAATTGATGACATCACATTTCTTTCCCTGGGATAAATAAGCCACCAGAGAATTCTCTAATTGCCTTGTAAAATAGTCTGCTGATAGCATTATTACTTAATTAATTTTAGTCTGCAATTTTAATACCTATTAAGGACTTCTGTCCTTAAGAAGTCCTTCTGTTTAAAGAAAGGCAGTTTTCCCAGTTCACAAACAACTCATGAATTTCTTATCATAATGATTTGGTGATTTTACAGTCACAGAAGAGGCAATGATGAAAGCAAGTTAAAAATGCTCGTAACTTACTTAACTCAGTGTGGTTTTCAGAATTTATACTGAGATTAACCCTGAAGTAATCATTACAACTTTTTAAAGGATGAAATAAGGCTATATTTGTTACTGTATCCCAAAGTACTACCTGGCAGGGCTATAATGGTAGCTACAGTGACAAACTTCAGTAGTCTTTGGATGTAGCCTGTAGTCAGGCCTGGATACCAAAAGGATGTTTATGTTTTAAACATCAGCCTTGAATTCCACCTTCAGGAGCTGCCATTAATACCTTTGAGGATCTGGAACTTCAGATAGCCTAAAGGAATGGTGTTCGATCCAAGATGTTCTACAAGTAAAATCCCCTTTCTGACATAGTGAAAATGTGTGATTTTTCATACACATACACACCTTCAGTAAATTTTCAAATAATAGCTTAAGAAAAGGAAAATAAATCTAGTAAAGACCTCAAGCATCTGTAAATCAAAGGGAAAGCTTTCACCCGTTACTCCCATAACTTACCATCTACCCAACAAAACTCCTTCCCATATCCACCCCAGAAACCAGTCATGACAAAATGTGAGAATAAAATACTTTTTATTACACTATGTATTTTTAAAGAGTTCATGAGGGAATTTCTCCTAAATGCTCAATCGTTTCTGTTCTCCTCCACTAGCAAACATTTTTAGGTTTTCATTTCTAGAGGCAGGCACGCCAAAAAGGTAATTTTTTTGCTTTTCTCCAACTCCTCTATCTGATTAATAATTATTGGGAAAGCAGACAGTGAATATGGGTGGCTTTTAAAATTATCCATGAAGGTCTGTTCCTAAATATTTAATATTGATAATTTGAGATTTACAGAACGACAGTAAGCCACTAATACCATGCTACTACTATAATTCAAGGCATTAAAAATTGAATGTGAAGCTGAATGCTTATCCATTGTGTAGCTATAATTTTAAGATTTGTGCTTAATGAAAATACTAACACAGTATCACTGCTTCCTCCTGAAAGTATGCTAACTCCAAAAGAAACAAAATTTATTATCAGCAATTTCAAAGCATGTTTATAAGCACTGCCATATGTTCCTCCTTTACGATCCATTTTTCCTTTATTTTATAAATATTTATTTCTTGCTCTATTTCAGGAAACATACACCTGCAGAAATCTCACCTTAATGTTATAGGTTAGGACCGTTCGTATGATGAGTACTGTACACCAATCACACAGAAAATGCAGTTTGTGAAATGTAAATTTGTAATTTACTCACAGGCTTAGAAGAAAGTGTTAGAAACTGTGAGGCAAGACTCAAGCCATTGCTGCGTACTCTGCTTTCAGATGCTTTGACAATACTATTGCACTGCTAGCTGTAAAGTACAGTAGTGCAATAAAGTCAGAGCATTCGTTAGCAGCAAGAACTCTGTACAAGTAATCAATACACAAAATACGTATTGGAAAAAAATAGGTCGAGTCAGATAGTGGTTTCTGTGGATCATGGAGAATTGGATAAGGTTAAGGTTCACCCAGTCCTGATAGAGACACACAAGAACTCACATATTTCAAGACATTATTATTATTCATAATCCCTGTCATTCCACTGACCAAGAAGGGGGGCAAAAAAGGAGGAAAACACCCAACAAAACACTCAACAGATCTGTCAGAAATTCAATTTCAAACAATTTGTTGCTCTTTTAACTGGAAACTACAATTCCAAATTTATTTATTCCTTAGATTTGCCTCATAGCAAGCAAAGATTCTAAACTGCTATCAGACAGATGTTCTTAAACTGCATTACAGGGAACATTTTCCGGACACCAGAGTTTATTCTTCTCATTTGCAGGTGTTGAATCACTTTAAAATACACTTAAACACACACTCATTTCCCAACATAGTGGATGTACATTACCACATAAGGGGTTACCACATAGATGTTAGAGCACTATCAAAGTGGGCATGTATTTCATAAATCTCAATAACTGTGTTTCTTCTTAACAAAACCAGTAACTTCATACAAAAAGTTTGAGAACTCTTAGGGTCTGAAGGTGCTAAGATTCTTAACAACAAAATGCAAAGTAACAGAGGAATGGAGAGATAGGTGATTGCTGATGCATACAGAGCAACAACCTGAGTCAACTCCACACCTGTAACATTTCCCTAGAACACACTGTAGGAAATAAGAATTCTATACAGTGTTCTTCCCTCTTTGCAGGGCACTTATTTCTAAAGAAACATACACACAGAGTTGATGGTATTTGTCATTAAAAGACCAGTTAACATTTCTCCTTGGCAAATAACGAGAAGACAATGCGAGGAAAAAAAAAATAAAATATCAGTGGCAATCTCATTTTACAGTTGTTTTGCAAATCACCTTCTGGTCTCAGACAGTGATTTTTGACTTGTGACTGTAAGAAGAAGAATGAATAACGTAGATAGTATTGCTGGCCAATGCCCTTTTAACATTGCACTGCTTTTTGTGCATGATCACTAGTAGTACAACATAAAAAGGGCACTGGACAGACACCACTCAAAGAAAAAAGTACGTCCACTATACTAAAAATATGGTGACAGAAATTAACTAAATTGCTCTGAATTAAGCACTCTCAACTCATCTGACACTTTATCCATTTGTTATCCATTTTACTAAATGGATGTCCACACAAAATTTCTTTCAGTGCGAACTGCTGAAGTGCATACTGGAAGGCACTAGCACAGCACTTGAAGTCCTGGGCATTAAAGGTTAATGAAATGGTTGTTATACAGAAGGATACATTTATCACCAGCAACTACCATACTATATTTTCATTAGAGGCCTGACTCTGTGTCTGATGAAACTGTTGGAAAGATCTCCAGTCCCAGCGACTTCAATGAACGCTTGTGCAGCACAGTCTCAGGTGCCCAATTCCTAAAATACAGCACCCAGTATGCTTATTTAAATTGTTAATAAGTTAGCTTTACAATCTTTTGTGTAATGAATCTCATCTTATATTGTAGATCTTATGGTTCATTCAGCTCTTCTTGTTACTATACTTTGAGCAATAGTCTCAAAGAACCATCAATAACCTGGTATTTTCACACACATTGTTCTTTTTAAGCACCTACAAATTAGTTTGTTCCTGGTTCCATGAGACTAAAATGAAGCTTTCCATGAAACGCATGTCAAAACCTCTGGGGAAGTAAGAAGCATTTTTTTATCACACTTTTGTGGAGAGAGCTGACTTCCACAGGAAATCCAGGAAGAAGAAACAATAAGCAGAAGGAAGAGCAAGACACACAAAGCTGCAACATGCAAGACATAGTTGCCACTGTACATATTCTGATAAACAATGAAAAAGAGAAGTATTGCACTTTTGAATGAGGATTGTATACAGGAAATTAATAAGTGAGATTGTTCAAGGTGTATTTAAGAAAACACCCTTTTCTTAAAAAAAAAAAAGGCAAAAAAACCCAGGTGAAGATGCAACTGCCTTGTGCCACCCAGCAGTTTTAATGGAAGAAGGCAGCCGGGCATACCATCTCCCATCTTCTGCTAGAAGAAATTAACAGAAGAATCATACAGAAAAATGAAGAATAACAGGGTGAAATCAAAATCAATTTGTTTTCCAAATGGATTACCCAAAGATTTGGTGTAATTAGAACGGGGTGGAAGACGAAGCTATAATCTCAAAACCTCTGGAAGTTGTTAGGTGCCATCTGTGCAGATAATTGACCCGAACGAGCTCTTCAACTTGAAATTATTTGCACAATGATCATTTTGGTCTACTCGTAAAGCAGATCATAAGACAGTGTCCCATTACTGTCTTCTTCTACTACCATATATAAAAGCCCCTTTTAGCTTTAAGGAGGCCAAAATACCTCTCCAATTATTTACATGTCCTAAAATTAGAATCGCTAATCAGCAAACTTTAAAAGTAAGACTTTCAATAAAACACAGAAATAAACCATAACATAAAAATAACCAACATCTAACCTGAGCATTTCTAAACGGATTTACATGGAAAGAAAAACATGCTACAAGGAAAAAAGAAATCGCTCAACAAACTAGGTTTTACCAAAAAAAACCCCCCACAAACGAATACTGACAAACGATATGGGGAGATCAAGTTTACACTATGGGCAAGGCTGAGGTTCTGAATTTGAAATTAGAACAACTTCAGAGCTCTGACAAGAATGTAGTATGTTGATGAATTCAAATACTGTATATTACCATTGTAAGCATTCAGTTTGATGACTGCAGTTCAGTAGCTAAAGGAGAACAAGCACCCCCTCAAAAGCATGGTTTACTCAAAGGAAAAAAAAAACAAACCAACACACCACCTTGTTTTTAAAGTGAAGTAAAACTGAGAATTGGGTAAGATAATTTGAATTCTCTGATCTTTCGACTAATGCAAGTATTTTGGCATTGATTTAAATTCTTACTTTTTATTTCTTAACAGAAATAGTATTGTCGCTTAAAATATTCACTCAGAAGTGTCTTACTTCTGTAATGACATGCAGGTCACTGAATGAGGTGACAAAGGCTTGTTAGCAGAACAAGCTCACATTTAGACAACTTTCAGCCAGTTGTTTCTTTTCAGACAACAGCAAACTTAGTTGCCCACTGTTCCTAATGCTTTAAGGGGCACTTTATGGTGGTGCTGGAGCAAAGTGACTGAAGGAGCAATAAAGTAAGTAAAAGTAAACAAAACAAGGTTAAACACTGGGCATTAAGGAGTGCAGCAATTTTGTGTATTGAAGGAAAGTCTAGCAGTCATTAGGCTAAGGGATAATGTGGATATACAATAGTCCCCACCATGTTCCCCCACTGCTCCTCCTGATTTCTCCTGGATATTTCACTTTGGTGATGTTACTGTGTACAGATAAGAACTAGGAGACTATTAAACTAATTTTTATTTCTTTTTTTAATGAGAACTTGAAACCAAGATTGTCAGAGGAGAAAAAAAAAAGACAAATCTATTGTATTATTTGTCTCTGTATTGAATAATATACTTTTTTTCTCCACGAGGACACTTGCAGTTTATCAATTAAGGTACCTAACACTGCTGCTAGGACAATTAAAATGCCAAAAAACTTCTGGAAGTTTCCCAGCAAAAACCAAAGGAGCATCCTCTTTTGGAGAACTATGTCAGTACGAGCATTTTAATTTCTGTAAGGACTTAGGAATAGCAATTAATATTCTCTATTAAGCATTTGGATGCATAAAATATTCCCAAAGCATTTTAACTAAAAAAAAAAAGTGTAAACAAGTTTACATTGTATAGAATGAAGATCAAGACTTGAAGGATGCCGCAAGGAACTTGTCCGTTTAAAGAGGCAGTTTCCCAATATGTAAAAGCACAACATAGCTCTTTTTTTTTTTTTTTTCTTTTTTTTTCGCTTTCCCGTGAGCGGGGCAGGCAGAAGGGCGGCTATTACATAAGGCAGCTCGGTCTTTGCCGGCAGGGGCTGGCTCCGACAGCGCCGAAACCGAGTTAAACGCTGTGAAAAGAACTACGCGAACTTGAACGGCTGAAGGAAAAGCCACCCTTCTCCTCAGGACTGGCTACAGCCCACACCTCGCCAAGAAGGAACGGCTGAAAGGGCCGGCGAGCTCCCCACGAAGGACGGACGGACCGGGGGTCCCGCTGCCGCCCCGCTCCTCTCCTCAGCGCGAACGGCCCGACCCCGCAGCGCCCACCGGCGGCGAGGCGATGGGGGAGGCTCCCCCGGCTCTTCTCCCGCTGACCGGCCCCGCGGATCTCGCCCCGTTCTCCCGGGAGGAGCAGAAGGGGAGGTTGAGGCGCGGCACCGCCGCAGGCCCCGGCGGGAAGCCATCCCGGCGGGAAGCCATCCCGCCGCATCGCCCC